TATCCATATCACCCGCAGAAAGGTGGGGGGGGGGGGGGGGGGGGGAATTATAATTATGTTGCTGTTTAGGGAGCAGTTTATTTTAATATCTTCTTTGAGACTGAAATCACATCCCTTATAAACACCACTAAATTGTGTGCAGTAAACCAAAAAAGACCGATCATTAGTGTGCAAGTGAAGCACAAGACAGGCGAAGACCAGGGGTAGTGCAATCCGATCCACGGTATCGGCATCGAGTTCAATGCATGCCAAAATGACTGGATTAGTATCTTTCCATCCATTATCCACCATTTATCCGAGGTTGGTCACGGAGCCAGGGGCTTCAACAGAAAAGCCCCAAAATCCCTCTATCCAGCCACTTCTTCCAACTCTCCTGGAGGGATCCCAAGGTGTTCTCAGTCGAGCTGGGAGACATTGTCTCTCCAGGGTATCCTAGGTCGTCCCTGGGGCCTCCTGCCGATGGGACATGCCCGTAACACCTCACCGGGAGACGTCCACGAGGCATCAATGTGGAGGAGCAACAGCTCAACTCGGAGTCCTTCCCGGATGACTAAGCTTCTCACCCTATCTCTAAGGGAGAGTACTGACACCCTGTAGAGAAAACTTATTTTGGCCGCTTGTCTCCGGGATGTTTCAGTCACGACCACATCTCGTGACCATAGGTGAGGAAAGGAATATAGCTAAACAGGTAAATCGAGAGCTTCGCCTTTTGGGTCAATTCCTTCAACACAATACACAGTCCGCAACAGAGCAGACGCTGCATTAATTAATGTGCCTGTCAATGTCACGCTCCCTTTTGTCCTCGTGAACTCGTGAACAAGACCCCAAGGTATTCGAAATTCCCCACTTGGGGCAGGATCTCATCCCCGACCTGGAGAGGGCACTTCACCCTTTTCGGATTGAGGACCAATGTCCTCAGCTTCCCCTGGGATGTGGGTAAAGTTCTGCCAAAGTTGGGAATTGAAACGCTGACAGGGGATTCTACCAAACGTTCCGAGCACACCATCACAATAGATATGGGTCTAGTGGGCATGTTCCCCTAACAACCGAGTCAACACACTACACCAGGTGTTGATCAGTTGACAGCTCCACCCGTCGCTTTACCCGATTGTCCAAAACAAGCGACCCCAAATTAAATGACATGATTACAAAGTCATTCATTGACCTGCGGTCGAGGGTGTCCTGTTTACAAATGCACATATGTACACCCTAATGTTTGAACACGGACAATCCGTGAAGAGCACAGAAATCAAGTAACAAAACACCACCCTGGTTCAGAATGTGGGGGATGGGGCTGTTCCTCCCAATTATGCCCTTCCAGGTCTCACTGGCATTGCCACCACGTGTGTTTAGGTTCCCAACTAGAACAATGGAGTCCCAAGGGGGAGAGCTCTCCAACACACCCTCCAAGTCTTCAAAAAGGGTGGGTACTCTGACCTGCTGTTTGGTGCATTGGCACAAACAACACTCAGGACCCATCCCCCCATGCAAAAGCGGAGAGAGGCTACCCTCTCATTGACCAGGGTGAACACCATCGTACACCCGCCAAGCCAGGGGAAAATAAGTATGCCCATACCTGTTTGAAATCTCTCACCTAGGGCAACTCCAGAGTGGAAGGGTGTCCGACCTCTCTCAAGAAGACTGGTACCAGAGCTAAAGCTGTGTGTGGAGGCAAGCCCGACTACATCCAGTTGCAACTTGACTGCCTCACACACCAGCTCGGGCTCCTTCAAATTGTTTTTATTACAACCAGTCTAATCCAATCTATCAGCCAAAACTCACCACAGGCTCGCAAGCATCTAAGTTTTCCTCATACCGGAATTAGTATTTTTGCTTCCGTGTCTAAGAATCATGTGAAATGTAGTCCAACTAACATATTGCTAGAGTCAGATAAACACAAGCTGAGCGTTTCTGGCTCGCATTTACCAACTTACAACAATGTTACAACCTGCGCAAGGTTGACGACACAACCAGCTTCCAATGACAGCTCAGAGCCAACCCAGCCAAGACACGGGCTGTGGTTGAATGGCCTTGACCCAACACTAAAAAACAGTTACAATAATTTTTAGGGTTTACAAATTTCTATAGAAGATTTATCCTTAATTATAGTGAAAAGGTAACGCCTCTGATCAAGTTGAACTCGAGTAAGACCACATTCACCTGGACTCCTAGCGCAGGGATGGCATTTACCGAACTTAAGACCTTATTTACTAATCTACCAGTGTTGACCCATCTCAACCCCAATCTTCCTTTTGTGGTCGAGGTTTCAGGAGTGGGGGCAGTCCTGTCACAGCAATTTCCAGTCAACTAGAGACTCCACCCCTGTGCCTTCTTCTCTTGTCGACTAAGTCCACTACGACGTGGTAAACTGTGAACTACTAGCTTTTGTACTGGCACTCCAAGAGTGGCGACACTGGCTGGAAGGAGCCAAGAAACAATTCACAATATACACTGATCACAAGAATCTATGCTAAATCTCCTCTGTCATTAGGTTGAACTCCTGACAAGCACAGTGGGATCTGCTCTTTGCATGAATCGACTTTGTCTAAACCTTTCACAAAGATTCTAAGAAACAGAAACCAGATGCTCTCTCCAGACTCCATGATGCTGCAGCAGACACTAACAAGACTGAGCCCATTCTACCTGATCACCACATTGTGGGAGCGCTGCGATTGGAGATTGAAAAGATCATTATTGAGGCCTTGGAAATTTAGAAAATAGACAATTATTTGTGCCTGTGGCAGTACGCCCAGAGGTATTACTGTGGGGCCACACTTCCAAGATTGCCTGTCATCCTGGTATTAACCGCACCCACACTGTCATTACTGTACGCAGCGATTTTGGTGGCCAGACTTTAAGAAAGACGATACAAACTTCATTGGGGCCTGCAAACCCTGTGCCTGTGGGAAATCCTCCCGTCAACCTCCTGCTGGTCTACTGTGGCCATTAACGATCCCGTCTCATCCCTGGTCACACATCGCATTGGACTTCATAAGTATGTCAGAAGGGAATACAGTCATACTTATTGTGGTCAACCAGTTCTCTAAAATGGCCCACTTCGTGGCTCTTTCCAAGCTCCCGTCGGCACTAGAAACTGCTCAACTGCTCATCAGGCACATGTTCCGCTTCCGTGGTATTTCTGTGGATTTGGTCTCCGACTGAGGTCCACAGTTTGTATCCCAGGTCTGGAAGAAGTTCTGTAGGACACTGGGAGCAGCTATTTTCATTATTTATTTCCTTGCCTTCTGCAAGAGCTTTTTGTTTGTTACGTTTTTCCTGGCTTTTTTTGACCAGCGATCTAATTTGTAGTTTGTCGTTTTTTTTCTGTAATAACGTTCTTTGAATAAGATTGTTTTGTCTCAGTCAACATTTGTGGGATCTGCATCCGTTCCGGATTACTCCAGAACATTACAGGCATAAGAGCAGCATAAAAAAAAGGCAAAAAAGCAACAAACATTAAAAACATACATAAAGTGCTGCAGTTAAAATACAGTATACCAGCTTCTGTCCAGTAAAGCGCTTTGTGCATTCAGTTAGTTAGTGACAGTTGGGACAGGGAGGGGTAAAAGTTGTCCTCCTCCGCTGTGTTCTACAATGCAGATGTAGCAGCCTGCGACCTGATGGAAACCACATTGAATGTAGTGTTTGTGAGGAGGTCATGCAAGATTCCGTGAGCGGAGTGGAAGGTTTGATGCCTGCACAAGCAGATAGAACTCTAGGACGGTTCCAATATTTTTTCATTGACTTTAGAGGCACTAAGTAGGTGAGTGATAGTGTATCTAATAATGTTGCACCAAATGGTCTGTAAAATACAGTAGACAGGACCTCTGTGTGATTGATTTCCTCCTTCCTTTAGGGGACCAGAAGAGTTGTTGGAGGCTTCACGTGGTGTTTTTAGATGTCGGTATCGAGCATACAACATCCAAATATTATTGACAACTTTTACAGGGACAAAATAAATCAGGTTGGTCATAGATTGGTGTTGGCTGATGCTAGAAGCAGCAACATTGGTGTCGGATATGAAAAAGTACTACATCTACCTCTTTGTCTTCCAGTGATGGTGCAGGAAACATTGAAATGTGAAAATGAGTTTCAAATTCAGAATATTTAATCTGATGTTTCCAATGTGTTTCAATTTGTGAATCCCCAAAATCTCCTGCTGGATTGTTTTTATTTATTTATTTATTTATTTTAGTATAGCTTTCCTTTGTCAGACACAAGGCGGTGAAGGGACATATGGAACAGTGCTCATCTGGGGTAACTAACTATATGTCTTAAAACAGGCTTTAGTGTCCTTATGTGTTCAGTGCTTTAAATGTGCATTAGCATCTAACAGTACAAAGAAGTTTAGTGAACTAATCATTTCTATTTTAATGTCCAACAGATAATTCTGAGTTTTAGATAAGCAATTATCACTGATGTATGGTGATGTAGGAATGACTGAAAAGCAAAAACGTAGGGACATGTGTTTCAATATTTTTTTTATTTCAGCAATTTGCAATTTACATTAATTTGCTCAAAGATAACAGATAAATCCAAATAACAGCACAAAGGAGTATGTCTCACTGTGCTCCATTAGTTATTGGCCATATCCACATTCATTTAACCAAGCTAAAACACCATAATAACTCAAACAGCTGTAAACTGAATATTTTGTTCAGTTATCTCATGGGTCTTCAATCCTTTCCCTCGCGGGATGCTGTCCTGCCTGTTTTCCATCTCCTGCTGCAACACACCTCATTCAAATGATGAGATAATCAGCAAGGTCTGCAAAAGCTGGATAACCTGATCATTTGAATCAGGTGCGTTGCTGCAGGGAGAGATGGAAAACAGGTAGGGCAGTTGCCCTTGAGGGACAGTGGCCCATGAAGAACAGTGTGAAAGACCCTTGAGTTATCGGAATACAAAATTTCACATCAAAGCTCACCCACCCTACACACAAGTACAAACCCAATTCCAATGTAGTTGGGGTGTTGTGTGAACAACAGGCCCCAAATCCAACATCGAATGCAAATGACCTTCAATCCCTCAGGTGGCATTGCATCAAAAACCAACATCAATGTTGAAAGGATATGGGCTCAGGAACACTTCAGAACACTAATGTCAGTAAATAAAGTTTGCCGCCACATCCGTAAGTGCAACTCTACAATTCAAGCAAAAGCCATTTATCAACAACACACCGAAACACCACTGGCTTCTCTGTGCCCAAGCTCATCAAAGATGGTCGGATACAAAGTAGAAAAGTGTTCACTGGTCTGATGAGTTCACATTTTTAATTGCTTTTGGATATTGTTATGTCATGTTCTCAGGGCCAAAGAGGAAAAGAACGGTCCAGACTGTTATGGACGCAGAGTTGAAAAGGCAACATCATTGATGGTATGGGATTGTGTTTGTGCCAATGGCATGGGTAACTTTCACATCTGTGAAGGCACCATTAAAGGTGAAATGTCCATACAGGTTTCTGCAACAAATGCCGCGTACATGACACAAATGGTCACCGTGCGTAGAATTCCACACACATCATCTCTCGTGCTTGGTCCGTTTTGTTAGTGTGAATGAACTTTTATGCTAATTAACGTCCTTCCGAATTCACTTTAAACGAACATACCGTCCGAGGTACATGGTCTTCTTAAGTCACTATTTTGATGACCTAGACAAAAACGTTTTTTTGTCACGTATTCATTGTAACAACACTGTCGCCTCCCCCAATTTGATCTTGCACCACACGCTCCAGCCATGACCAGCCGCAACTCTTTACAGCAATTTTAGTATATTTATAGATGACGGTAAGACTTGGTGTACGAACAAATACAGCTACGTTTTAAGCATTGTCGCCAGTTATGCCACAGACAGGGAGGAGATGTTTTCACTGCTGATTGATTGTCTAATGTTTTGAGCAAATGCCATCCATTCATTGTCTGCTGGACCAATAACAGTGACATGTATGACATGTATAAGTCCGTGGTCGTGCATAAATCCACTGTGAATATATCGAGAGATTGGCGGTCCGGAAGAACACGCTGGACATTTATTCACATTATCCATGTCTTCACAAACCCGTATATCTAGTCATGCAGGTGAGACTGACAACACCAAGTGGACAACAATGATACATGCAACTCATAAACGGAAAGGAACAATGCAGTGGGGCTCAGATTTTCTTACACCAAGTACCACCTTTCTTCATGTACCATAATCATGACGAAAAATATAATACAGTGTGGACAAGACCTAAGTGTTCATTCAAAAAAGATACAAAGCTTTCGTTCCTAAAACAGTTATGTAAGATTCAATACATTAATGTGTTTGAGCAGTGATTCTATCGTAGGGAGCCCCTAAGGTGGCATGGAAGAAGAAAAATTATGCGCTCCCTCGCAATCATTGCGAAATAAAGCAAAGGCTTTTTTTGTGAAGGAACAATTTATTTTAATGGGCTTTCGGGTCATCTAACCTATTTTATCTTATTTTAAAAATGAATCTAAAACTAATCTTTCCAAGTCCTCCGACATGACTATTCGTCTTCCATGTACTGCTGTGCGTGAAAAGGATGTGCATTGGAGGGTACAGTCGCCACACTGACCCGGAAGTAAATACTTGCTCATACAAAAAAATGCCTTCCTACGCAAATATTTGCGTTCCTCGCAGCAATGATTACAATTGAATCAGAGGCGATTGCTCTAAGACTACGTACAAGGGAAGCTCAGCTTCCCCTAAAATGTCAAAAAATAAGTGATCAAATATATGTGTGTACATACAATTGTGTGTACATGTCATTGACTAAATATGCGCTACAACGCGCTCAACTTTTGTTCCGAATCAACTTCTTATTACTGGTTACGACGTGACTCTCTTCTCATTCATTCCTGGAGATTCACTGTGCTTTAAACTGTGTGGATGCTGGGCGTCTAGAGATTTCAGTGTAGGTTGTCCCAATGCATTGAAACGAGACGAGTCATTGGATAAATGCTGGTTATGTCCCGCCCATAGGACGCTCAGCGTCTTTGGGAGTCTATGGACAGTGGGTGTTTATGGGCTGCCCCGTACACTCAGCTTTTCTGCATGATGATTGGATGATCTGTCTGAGCCTGAATCTCTTTTTGATTGACAGCGAAATGAGCCAATCACCGATCTTTTGGTGTAGGCATTCGTGGGAGCATTTTTCAATTCTCATTCTGTTCTCAGTTGAACTGGAGACTTCTAATAATCTTAGCGACACTCTCTTTGTTGAAAACGACTAGCGACACAATCTTTTATTTCTGGTGGGTTTTATTGTACACAGATCATTTTCTTGAAAAGGAACGGAGAGTAGAATTCACGTATAAATAAACGAACACATTTTATGATGTAGGCCGAAATTGAGCTTCCCCTCCTTGACAGACCAGCATCCGCCACTGAAATGAATGAATTTTTGTTTTTCTTTTTTCTGGGGATAGAATGCATTGTTGTTTTTCCTTCCTCGTCACTTTAGGAGGTCTGTACTACTGCATACTACTAGATCGAGTCTGAGAATACCAATTCATTTTAGGACATTTTTTAAAAACTTGATGTAATTTTTTTTTTTTTTGCCCCAATAGTAAAACACATGACTAACTGCCAATCAGACAATGTTTGGGTTTAGTTCATAACATATTTTTGTGAGAAAACATAACTCAATTTTAATGAAAAAGAAAAACCACTATTGGGCAGACTTGAACTTAATTTGAACTTCAGACAGGCTATCATTGAATTCAAAACATCTTGGGAAATGACCAAACCTGGAAAACAGGTGAGCCATGATTGGTCATTACCTGATAGCAAGTGGCAAAACGACTGCCCCCTAAGCTGGATAAAAACGTGTGGATTTTGCTGCTTAATTCCTATTACACACATGCAATATTAACCGGAATACCATGGTTAGACAAGTGGGGGCAAACAGAACACATGATAAAAAACATGGTAAAGAACATGTTTGACTTGACTTCCCCTTTAATTTGTATGTGTGTCCCCCTCCCCCAATTTGATACATTTTTTTTGTCAGATGTAATGATTTTAAGTATCACTTGAAAACTTGAACAATTGTACAGTTGAATAATTTCGATGAAGAAGTTTCAGTTAGGAAAAGCAATGCATCTGTGAATACTAAGAGAAAGACACCACAATAGCCACAGCAATCCATGCGGGTAAATTACACTCACTCAACTGTATTTTCAGAGCACTTTAAAACAACCATCACTGTATACAAAGTGCTGTACATGGAGCAAATATCATATACACAACAACAAACAAAATAAATTAATAAGACAGTAGAAAGCGCAAAAAACCCCAGTAAAACTAAAAATCAAGTCTGAGTCATGCTGACTCAACGCCAAAAAATAGAAATTAGTTTTGAGACATGTTTTAAAAATAGGCAGTGAGGGGGCTTGCCGAATGTTCAGTGGAAGGTCATTCCAAAGAGAGGGACCAGCAATGGAAAAGGCTCGGTCCCCTCTGAGCCTCTGCTTAGTTCTTGATACGTGTAATAATGCCTGGACCGCAGACCTGAGGCACCGCGCAGGAGTATAGGGGTGGAGGAGCTCAGAGAGGTAACGTAGGGCGAGGCCATTCAAAGATTTGAAAATGTTGTTTTTCCAGTCAGTGTTTGGTGAAATGTAGCGAAAGGAGTAATACCTGTATACTGAGACCAATGTAAAGCAGTGACTAATAGTGCTTTGATTTAAAGTCAGGCGAGTTCCCCAAATTCTTGCTGTGAAAACAATGTTAATAACCACTCAAGTTGTTGCTCATTGTTAGTAAATAACAGGAAAAAAAAAGTTTCATTAGTGAAATTAGTACAAAGATCCACCACCATCAAAGCTGCCAGCTGCTGGTGTAGTTGCCGCTACAAAACCAGTCCCATGCTCTGATGCCCACCTCCAAACTCGAGCTGTCTGCTGCTGGGGCTTTCCCTCTGCACTTGAGTCTCCTCAGAAAGATTTTCCACAAGTGGGAGGTCAGAAGGAGGATCTACAATTTCCTTTTGGAGGTCCTGGAATCAACCCAAATGAAGACAAAACATATGTCACATCAGAGACAAACCTCTCTCTCTCTCTCTCTCTCTCTCTCTCTCTCTCTCTCTCTCTCTCTCTCCAGTAATTCACCCATTTAGATGGTTCATATTTGTTTCGTGGAACCATGATGTGACGTATCCATGAAATGAGGAGCTTGAGGAGCGTCGGCTCACGTCCTCAAAATATTTCAACATCTCCCCTCCTTGCTCTACTTGAGCCCCGACATGTGGGACCATATTTACTTTTGTAAACGCTGCATCACGTGACGTGTTTTGTGCACATGCGTGTCACTTCACGGATGCATTCCGTTCACGTTAGACGTCACATTTGTTTCTATAAACCGAACGACATAAAAATATTTGATTTAAAGCCTAGAATAGCTTGTGGGTCCTTTCTGTCCAAGACGTGATAGCAGCGAATGTGCGCAGACACATGCTCCTTCTTGGCTCCTGGGAGCGAAGCCGTGATTGAGCGTCTCAGATGTTCTTTTTATTGGAATATATATTTTTTCTTTGGGGGGGACGTCACTTGAGCTGCTGTCCTGCCGTCTGTCACAAGACCCTAATACAGGATCGCAGGAGCTGCAATTGGAACTAATCGATCTTCAGTTCAAGTTTGGTTAAAGTCCTTTATACTGAATGACTATTATGCTTCACTTCACGAAGCCATATTTTCAAACCTCTGAAGGATGGCATGGAAGATGCTGATGTTGTTTGGCTCAACCTACGTGTGTGAGCAGACATTCAGCCTCATGAACATCAACAAAGGACCGTCACAAATCCAACAAGATCAACACTTCAGAACTGTCTGCTGGCGCCATAAGAAAGGCAGGGGGAACTAGTTTTCTGTCTCCCCACACATCCCAACTTTTATGATCACACTAGATCACACTGGATTTTGTCTATTTTTTGTAACTGTTGTACATGGTGCGAGACTGTCCGCCTCTCATTTACATATTGCCTCTACCTATCGCTTGTGTCTGTATTAGTTTAAGCGCGCTCTGATGCCTAAAAGATACAGAGGCCTGAATCAATTCAAAGTGAGTTGTGATGCTGAGCGTTTCACACCAGGCATGACTAATGACTACATATACATAAAAGTTTAGGTTTTCATGGTTTGAATACAGTATTTATGCCTGGAGACTGGCTGACAAGTAGAGTTGTGGTACAGTGAAACTCCTCTATAACGAAACCTACACGGGCGAAAATACCCCCTAATGTGAAAAAAATCTTCATGCATTAAAATTAACACCATTCTCATTCTACTGCCCCCCATACGATGAAAACCCCCCTGTTGCGTTATACGAAATCATTTTCTCTGCTCCAGCCTCGCAAAGACATTCACTACAACGAAGTCTAATCCAACAGCGACCTCCACTGCTTCGTTCGGAAACGGCAACAGCAACCACCACACTGGTTTACATAGTGAACAATGTTTATTTCGGTCACAGCTGCGATTTTCCTGAACGCAACATACTCATAGCTGCTCTGCCATTGGCTTACCGAGCATCATCCTGGCCTCCGATTGGCCAAGAGCGACCTCACTGTCTATGTGTGTAGATACTGAAGCTCGATCCGTAGAAGATAGAGTGGAATGCATCCGATTAGCTGCTCAGAGTAAATTGCTTATGGCTCGACGGACATCCAAATAAACGAACGTTTCCTCGAATGCTTTACTTGTTATCATGCTAAAACCCTTATGCTAACTGGAGCACTAAAGAGAGAGAAGCGCTCCAGTTAGCGTAAGGTTTTTAGCCTTCGAGAACTAACGATGGCCATCGAGGACTACGAAGCGTCCGTGGCTGGCTTAAAAGTTTATTGCATGACATCAGCTGAGCAACGCTGTCTTGGGTGGCGATCGAGGGGAGGTCGAGTTAGAGACAGTGAGATGGTGGAAAGAAAAGCCACCGGGTCCACGAAGCATTTGTTATTGTTAGAATTGTTAGATTCAGACGAGCATGGACGTTGCATTGCTAAAATGGCTACAAAACGGACCTTTTGATGTCAAGCAGCTAAGACAAGAAGAGCTCTGATGCTGGAAGAGAGGGTAGAAGTGATCAAAATGAGAGACGGAGCAAGCAAAATAAAAGACATTATCCAAGAAATTGATGTAAGTGAAACTGAATGCTTATCGTAAATTTTGCAATTTCTTTCCCTTTTTTTCTTTCTACACTGACAATATGAAGTGTCAAATAAGCGTGTGCTCATACTTAAAGTATACTTTAAGTGCATAAGTATGATACTTATGCACTATCGGAATAAAAATAGAATACACACACGTTTGTGTGTGTGTGGACACATACGTTTGTGTGTGTGTGTGTGTGTGTGTGTGTGTGTGTGTGCTTACATCTGAGATCAAATTTGCTACAGTGAAAAACCCCGTGTTGTGAAAAATTTCTTGCTGCAAACATGATTTCGTTGTAGAGGAGTTTCACTGTACAGTGACCTGAAGATGTTGATGTACTTGAGGGGTACACATATAGCTGGACGATCTGCCACGGGGATTCCCAGTGGATGCTGTGAAAGGCTTTCTTGAAATCAATATAGTTGATCATAAGTGGTAGCTGAAGTTCTTGGTACTGCTCTACAATGTTTCTAAGGGTAAAGATCTGTTCCGAGTAAGACCTTCCCTTCCTGAAGCCAGCTTGCTCTTCCCTCAAGATGTTATCCACCTCGTCTTTAAAGCGATGGAGCAGAATACTGCAGAATACCTTGCCGGGGATTGACAGCAGTGTGATGCCCCGCCAGTTATTGCAGTCTGCGAGGTTTCCCTTCTTAGGCAGCGTGACAATGACCCCATGTCTCCAGTCGGCAGGAAGCTCTTCAGTATGCCAAATCAGGTTGAACAGGTAGGTAAGGCTCTCCAGAACGGCGTCTTGGCCATGCTTCAACAACTCGGCAGCTACCTCATCGAATCCCGGTACCTCGTTGTTCTTAAGGCTCTTGATTGCTCTGGCAACCTCAGTCTCGGATATCTCTCCCAATATAATGTTTAGAGTTGGAGCTGGTGTATCGTGATCGAAATTGAAGAGCAAGGGAGGCATTGGTTGGTTGAGGACCTCGCTGACGTGTTCCGCCCATCTTGCTTCTTGCTCCTCGTCACTTAGGAGTGTCCTGCCATCCTTGCTCCTGATTGGCACGCTAGAGCTGCTCCTGGAGCTGGTTAGCTCCCGCACAATCTTGTATAGGGTCATAGTGTTGTTCTTCTGTGCTGTCTCCTGTGCTTCTCTTGCTTTCTCCTCTAGCCACTGTCTTTTGTCCTTCCTGCAACTCTACTTCACTGCCCTGTCCAAACGCCTGTACTCTTCGTCGTCCATCCTCCAGCTCCGGAGCCTCCTCTTTTGTTCTCTTTTTATCTTGGCCACCGTCTTTTTATCAATCAACTTCCAGGTGCTGTCTGTTATGCATCTTTCTTTGTTGGTAGCCCTCTTTCTGCCTATAACTGCTTCTGCAGTTTCAGCGATGGCATGAGAGAACATACCCCACTGCTCCTCAATGTTTGCAAGGTGTTGTGGTACTTTGAGCTTCTTACTCAACTCGTCACAGAAGCTTTCTGAGATGTTGTTATTCTTCAGCTTGTCCACTGCGTAAGGTCTCTTGGGCAGCACCTTCTTCACCTTCAGCTTGATTTTACCCACCACAAGGAAATGGTCTGAACCCACATCTGCACCTCTGTGGGAGCAAATGTCTAGCAATGACGAGCGCCACCTTGTGTTGACGTAGATGTAGTCCAGCTCGTTTCGGGTCCTGCCACCAGGTCGAACCCAGGTCAACTTGTGCATCCGCTTGTGCTCAAAAAAGTTGTTGTCAATGCTGAGGCCGTTGGTACTGGTTAGCATCAACAGTCTCGCCCCGTTGTCGTTCGTGGAACTTGCAGACCCATGTGGTGCAACTGTGGCATTAAGGCCTCTTCTGTCACAATCTAGTTTTGCGTTGAAGTCTCCAATCAGCATCTTGATGTCATAACTGGGGATCTCTTCAAACACGGTCTGGAGCTGGTTGTAGACGGTGTCATTATCTTCCTCTGAGGCAACTTTGGTTGGGCAGAGACTTGCACAATGGTTACTTTGGCATATAGAGCCTTGCTGTGATGATCCGTTCATTCACTGGCTTCCATCCAACCAATGCTTGTGCCGCACCGCTGGAGAGGATGATGCCGATTCCATGGGAATGGTGGTCTTGCTTCCCAGAGTACAGAAAAGTTGCTCCGTCAACCATGAGGCGCCCCTGCCCCGTCCACCTCATTTCACAAACGCCTAAGATGTCCAGCCGATAGTCCCTCATATTCGTCAGCACCTGGTCCATGCGACCATACTGGAACAGTGTGCGCACATTCCAGGTGCCTACTCTGGTGTTGGCCTTGGTTACGAAGATCGGGGTCATCAGGTGTCGGGCTTCCTACTGGATTTCACCTGGCCCCTTCATAGATACATCCAAGGATGTGCCGTCTCTTCTTTCCCGTGATTTACCGGAATGGCTTCCTCTCGTCATTTCTATAACGGGTTTTTGTTTTACAGGGTGAGGTTGTTAACCTCACGCCCAAACCCCATCCTGGAGGACCAGTTGGATGCAGTTTAACGTCAGACGCAGGGACGGACGTCATACCCAGTACCTCCCTGGGAGGCACCAGGTATGTGCAATGAAAACAGAAAATAAAGCAGGATTCATTTATGTTTTACAGTTATATGATTAATTGCTTTTGACACAGTATTTACACATTGTGATATCCCTCCATCCCTCCATCCATTCTCTACCACATATTGAGTTATTCGTGAGGACAACAACTTTAGTAAGGAAGCCCAGACTTCCCTCTCCCCAGCCACTTGTTGGAGCACTGCGATGTGGTAACTTTTTCTCCACTTACCTTGATGATATCTGAATTAACATGGAAGATCCTTGTGGGCGAGTCAAGTCTGCTTGCATGTCTGCTCCTCGGCTCCTGATTCTCTTTTTCTCGCATCTCCCTCTCTCCCATCTCAATCTCCATAGCAATATTAGATCGTAATCTCGATCCAAAATCTGAGATGAGCTGTTTGCCGATGTCCTGGAGCCTTGCTGTCTGCTCAGCCATGAACTTACCAAATTGGTTTGCTGAATGCTGGAAATAGTGTTCCATTGTATTACAATCGTTAATTTTACCGTGAGTGGCACAAATAGGGTCCTCTGCAGTCCCTTTATATATTGGTCGCTTGTACTGATGGTTCTGAACAAATCCTTTACCTGCTCCTGATGTTGCTGGGCCTGTTGTGTCTGGTCAGCCAGCATCTGTTGGACGAGATGGTCTTTGAGCTGCAGTTGGGCGTTCAACTCCTCCAGAACTTCGCTTGGTCCAGAATGTAATTGCGTTAATAAGGAGGAACGCAAATCCTGCAGCACAAGAAAGAATAAATAAAGAATACCAGTGTCATTCACAAATTATTAGCGTGATAACACAAAATTGACATCTGGGTGGAAACTGCCTATTAGGGTCGATTTAGACCAGATGTAGTTTAAGTGATTTTGAATTTAATGAAGAATGTATTTCGAACAAAACTGTCTCATTTGTGAAAGACATGAAAGGTTCTTATTCTCTGGGTTGATATCAAGGGCTATGCTAATTTGTTTAAACATAGACATATTAAGCTTGAACATTTAATTAGCTTCACCTCCCCTCCAAAGGTTGCCTTTTTTTGTGTGAGTACCTGGACTTCTTGTGTTCGGGCCTGCAATGCCACCTGCAGCTGGTTGAGGATTGCATCTTTCTCTTTCTGTCTCTGTTGACTCTCTTGCTGTTGCTGTTGGATGCTCCCACAGGCATCACGCATCTGCTCCAGCTCCAGAGAACTATCACAGAGAAGCAACTCCAGACTCTGACACAAAAAAAAAAAGCATATTGGAAACATATTTTGAAGAAGGCCCTTTTCGTTTAATTGTATAATATTACCCTGATGGCTCCTTAATAACATGGTTGGATTAATTTGCAAAGAAATGACAAGGACCTCTCCTTTATTTCTGATTTCATGAAGTTCCAAAAGGCCGACTAAAACCTTGTAGAGGAGAAGCTTTTGTATTAAGAGAAGGCAAATTTAGTTTTTTAACTCTCGATTTCTACACGCATGACAAAAAAAAAAACAAACAAGTACAGTAAAGCGAAGGAAGGTGATTTCTTACTTTGATCGTCCCTTCGTTATTTGCCAGGACACAACGCTGTCTCTCGAGTTCGCTCTCCTTCTCTCGGAGAAGTTTGTGCAGCTGACGCATCTCTGCCATTTTCTCCTCGATACAGTGGAACTTGTCATCTACAGCTCGCTAGGGATTGGAAAAAAAAGTGACAAGCAAGCCAAGTCTGATGTGTGATGTAGGTTGGTCGGTTGCTATTTGGTTGAAATTAATGTTTTATTTCATTCTACCAAGAATAAAAACAATAATGGCCATTGCGGATTAGTCATTCTTGCCAGCATTGTTCATACAAAGTGAAAACAAAATCTTTAGTTTAATACTGGTTCATTTTATGCCAGTCTAAAGCTATTTGCAAGCAACTGTGGTCGTACAGCTTATTATACTATTAACGCTTTAATGCCTGACCCATCAAGGAATAGCCAGAAAAATCTGATTTTTGGGAACTGAGATGTTCATTAATTAATTTGAATTATAATGTTGTCTGTTGAATCACCTCCAGATCAACCCCGGGAAAACTAAGGAGTTGGTTGTGGATTTCTGCCGGAAACATTCCTCACCTGCACTGATGAACATCCAGGGTATGGACAAAGAGAGGGTGACCTCCTACAAGTACCTGGGTGTTCTTCTCAACAATAAACTAGACTGGTCTACCAACACAGACGCTCTAATCAGGAAGGGGCAGAGCCGGCTCTTCCTATTCAGAAAACTGAGGTCTTTTGGAGTTCAGGGTTCACTCCTTAAGACCGTCTATGACTCTGTGGTGGCTTCAGTCATTCATTATGGCATAGTCTGCTGGCCAGAGAAAGACTGGACCAACTGGTCAGGAGGGCCAGCTCTGTCCTGGGCTGATCCCTGGACACTCTGGAGGAGGTGGGCAACAGGAGGATGCTAGCTAAGCTAACAGCTATAATGGACAGGCCCTCCCACCCCCCTCCGTGCCATGCTGACAGCACTGGGCAGCTCCTTCAGCCAGAGACTGATACACCCGCGATGCAAGAAGGAGCCGCCGCTCATTCCTGCTGACTGCTGTCAGGCTATTGAATTAAGTACACCTCTGCATAACACTGTATCCTTATTAACGTATAAGAGAATAAAAAAAGAAATATGGACCAACTTACAACAAAGAATAGCTTCATTAACTGTAACAGAAAAGATTTAAAGTGCATCTGAAATTCAAAAGTAAAATTAAATCCTTAATTTAGCAATAAATATTTTTTCACGGACCATGTCAAACCATAGAATACTGAAAATTAAAATGACCTAAAATAAATAAATAACAATGCATTCAAAGTGATCACCAACATTAACTCAGGTGCACAATCTTAAAAAAAACCTTGAGCCTGCAAAACAAAAATATATAAAATAATTTGTGCTGATTTTTTTTTTTTAAATCAAAGATGATGTCTGGATTAATGGCTACAAGTAGCGGTCACAAAACGGGATGATTGTTGGCAATACTCATTCCGCACTATATGGCGCACCGAAAAGTCATCCATATTCTTAAAAGCTCACAGCGCGCCTTAAAATCCAGTGCGCCTTGTATATGGTCATTACGGTAATATGTCGACCCCAAAATGGCTCCTTGCTGGAGACATGCTTACAATGTTATAACTTGCTGTTTGTTCAGTGAACTGTGTCGCTGCTGAATAATTTTTTGTTGCAGCTCCGAAAAAAGGAGACCTGTGGTGTTGTGTTTTTAAAATGCACACTTTAGTAATGGTTTTCACAGCCTCAACAAATACAGGTACGTCTTTGTCCATCTCTGTGCCTTCTCTTCTTCCGTTCAACTCGAGAGGCATTCATGACCGCCTCCGAAAAAGGTAAATTAATGAGTCCTTCAATGAAACTATGAACATTGAAAATTATACATCAAAAGAGAAAATCAAGCGAGGAAATCACAAAATAAATTCTACAGCCCCCCTACAGAATTTATTTTGTGATTTCCTCATTTGTGAATACACAACAAAGGAATAAATAACAAACTTCTGAGACAGTCTAGTCTCCTACATTCTGTAGGGGGGCTATCAAATTTATTTTGTGATTTCCTCATTTGTGAATACACAACAAAGGCTGAGATATGATCATATCCTCCTAATGGGGGATTTTAATATCCATGTATGCTGCCTGGAAAAACCACTAGCAAAGGACTTCTTAAGACTTATCGACTCTTTTAATTTCGTGCAATATGTGACCAGCCCGACACATGAACAAGGACATATTTTAGACCTTGTCCTTGCTTATGGTCTACCGGTGTCAAATCTAGAAGTCCTTGAAAATGGGATTTCTGATCACATGGCAGTTTTATTTGACGTAGTCTTATCGCATACTGCTGTAAAATTTCCCGCTCCTAGTTGCAACCGCCGAATTTTTGACCCTCGCACTGCTAGTCGGTTCTCTGATGGCTTTAATAACCTTTGCGTACCCTCATCTAACACAGAGGAACTCACCTCTTGGTTCAACTCATCATGCCGTGCCATCCTGGATTTGGTGGCTCCTTCAAAAACTGTGCTCCCAAAACCTAAACTCGAGCCTTGGTTTAACGACAAAACTCGCGCAGCTAGGCAGGGGTGTCGCAAAGCCGAACGCAAGTGGAAAAAAGACAAATTGCAGGTCTCTTATCAAATTTGGAAAGACTGCTGGCGTAATTACCAGCTCACAGTAAAAGAGGCCAAAAGAGAATATCTGTCGGACCTTATTCAAGCTAACCGTCACAACCCACGCGCACTATTTAAAACGATAGATTCTGTACTAAAACCCCCTCTGCCTTCTTGCTCGGATTCTTCACCCGAGATGTGCAACAGATTCCTTCAGTTTTTCATTGATAAGGTCTCTACAGCTAGGACTTCGGTCTCAAATACCGCATCTGACTCCTCTGTCCATATTCCGTGTGCAGCGGTGCTAAAATTCTTTTGAAACTGTGTCCTTGAAGCTTTTGGAGGATGTAGTTCACCAGACGAAGCCATCTTGCTCCCCCTGCGACTCTCTCCCCCCGCATTTCTTTCAGGAGGTTCTACCGAGTGTTGGTGCATCGGTCTTGGACATCATCAACAGCAGCCTCTCTTCTGGGATAGTTCCCCAACAGTTTAAACATGCTGTGGTCCAACCCTTGATCAAGAAACCTGGTCTTGATCCAGATGTGCTGTCAAATTTCAGGCCCATTTCCAAACTGCCTTTCATTTCAAAATTTTTGGAAAAAGTGGTGCACATGCAGTTGAAATCTTTCTTGGATGAACATAACATCTTGGAGGTCTTCCAGTCAGGTTTCAAGACGATGCATAGCACGGAGTCAGCCCTGTTACACGTTACTAATGACATCCTGCTGGCAAATGACACCGGAGACTACGTGTGTCTAGTTCTATTGGATTTAACTGCAGCATTTGATACAGTGGATCACAGTATTCTGCTGACTCGTTTGCAGCACTTGGTGGGCATTGGCGGTAGCGCTCTTGAGTGGTTTAGGTCCTATTTAGCTGACAGA